GAAACATCTATGCATCCCCTTTTCTTCAGTCAGATATGGTGATTTTTTTCTCCTTATCACTTCTTTTCCAGGCAGTTAGATTGATTTCATTCACTTGTTGAAACAGAACAGTTAGGCGGGTCACCAGGACTTCCTAGCTCAATAGTGAGGAGTAGAATTCAAGTCACCTCTCCTGTTTTCCGGTATAGAATTCGGGTAAAAGTTTGCTGTTTTTGATTATAGAAATTTGATGATATTTTTGAGAGGTGTAGAGAACAACTCTCACAAATAACTGGGTTGAAACACACATATGGGACACTGTTAGAACGCGCATAATAATAGAAACCTTTTGGATAAAGAGAACAAAATGCTTTCCGAAGAGAATGACTCACACAGTAGATGTGTCTTGTGTTCTATGACTGGTCTATAGTGCCCTCTATTGGCTATTTAATCTAAAGCAACATCTTGGTTCTTAAACACAATGTTCCTTGCAGTGTTATTTACCAAGAGTATTAGAGGCTTAAAAATTATGATAAAAGGTGATAAAAAACTAACGGGGACTTAAAAATATATACTTGGAGGTGCTCACTTTGGTAGCACATATGCTAAAATTGGAACGCCACAGAGAGGATCAGCATGGTCTCCATGTGAGGATGACCTTCATATTCGTGAGAGTTCCATATTTTTACAGAAATGCTTGGGAGGGCCTAGAGGTTAGGTAGGGGTCTTCAGGAACATTTTTTTTGAGTTGGAGTCGCTCTCTGTCGCCCAGGCAGGAGTGCAGTGGCACACTCACAGCCACCGCAACCTCGACCTGCTAGGCTTGGGTGATCCTTCAGGTTCAGCCTTCCAAGTAGCTGGAACCACAGGCATGCGCCACCATGCCCAGCTAATGTTTTTTGTTTGTTTGTTTGTTTGTTTTGAGTTGGAGTCTCACTCTGTTGCCCAGACTGGAGTGCAGTGGCTGCTCCCGGCCACCGCAGCCTCGACTTGCTGGGGCTCCGGTGATCCTTCCGCCTCAGCCTTCCAAGTAGCTGGAACTACAGGTGCGCGCTACCATGCCCGGCTAATTATTTGATTTATTGTAGAGAGGAGGTCTCGCCAAGTTGCTCAGGCGGGTCTTGAACCTGCGGATTCAGGCAGTTCACTCACCTCAGCCTCCCAAAGTGCAGGATTTCCAGGCTGAGCCACCAAGCCCAGCTTTAATGTTTTGATTAATTGTAGAGATGAGGTCTCACCACATTGCCCAGACTGGTCTCGACCCCATGGGCTCATGCAATCCTCGCACCTCGACCTCCCAAAGTGCTAGGATTACAGGCGTGAGCCACCGCACCTGGCTTCAGGAAAATCTTTACAACTTTTTGTTTGATAGAACATACATATGATATTGTAGACTTATTTTCGGAAAATAGACCTTTGTGATGAGAAGCCGTCTGAGTGAGGCTGGGTTTGAGCATATTATGCAGCAAAGCCCCAAGAATAGCAGTCATCCTGGAAGGCAGGCGCAGTGGCCATGTCTCCATATAGCGGCTGCTGCCTGTGATGGCCGTGAAGGGAAATGAGTGTTTCTCATCAAAGCCATTTCAGTCGGCCGTGTGGGAAATCACACAGTCAGAAAGGTCATCGCAGAAAATGAAGTAGCTGCTGGGCACAATGGCTCACACCTGTAATCCCAGCCCTTTGGGAGGCCCAGGCCGGAGGATTGCTTGAGCTTATTAGTTCGAGACCAACCTGGCCAGCATAGCAAACCTTTATCTGTACAGAAAAAGTTAAAAAAAAATTAGCTGGTCATGGTGGTACATGCCTGTAGTCCCAGCTGCATGGGAGCCCGAGCTGGAAGAATTGCCTGATCCCAGGAAGTTAAGGCTGCAGTGAGCCGTGATTGTGCCTCTGCACTCCAGTCTGGGCAGCAGAATGAGACTTCTGACTCAAAAAAAAAAAAGAAGGAAAATGAAGTCATGCTTATGTATAAGGGGGCATCTTCAGCAGTGGGTGGTTTGTTCCTCCCGAGACAAATAAGCTGCTTTGGGCTGCCCTCTGGGAAAAGAGGTGGTAGATTAGATTTGCTGTCTAAAATAACTAGAGGTCTCAGCCTGGATAAGCGTGAGTAAGCACGCACACCTTTCACGAGTCTGTGGTCTAAACAACACTGTGCTTTGTGTAAATAAATGCTCACCTTGACTTTCCTGCAATAAGGGAAATCTATTAGTCTTTCAAGGGTAGAACTATGTCCATTTTTGCTCCTGGTGAATCTTCCTGTGGAATGTTTCTCATTACCATCTGAATGGGCTACATTTTGAAAACCCATTCGCCTTTCTGGGTTAAAAAATAACTTTTTTATCCAGTGTTCTATGAAATTGCAGAGATTGTTCACAACCAACTTAGCGGAGTCACTTATTTGCTTTTGGTGTATTTTATTGTCGCCGTTTTCTCTAAGAAACTTTAGTAATTATTAATATGAAGTAATGCTAGCTGCTTGCCATGTGTTGCGTGAGAGGAATAAGCTGTTATGTGTTTTCCCTTCCCCCCCAATAAAAAAGCCTTTCATCAAAAACTGACATCCTAAATGAAGGACATAATTGTACAGCTTATTTATTAGCATGTCAAACTCAAAATGTAATGGTTTCATATTTCAGAATGAAAAGTGTGTTGTGATTCATGGTTGCCAGTGACAAAGAAGCCAGCTCTTTTCCGTGACTGTGCCGATGGCCTGCTGAGACACCACTGTGCTTGTTGGTTTTCTCCCGCTCTCTTCCTATGCAATAGCTCCCTCTACTTGAAAATATTGGTGTAATTATACTTCAGCACTGTGTACTTTATTAGCGAGTTGCCATGACCATTTTTGACTTTTAATCTTCTTCCCAAATGCCTGATGTTAGTCATCAGCGTGTGTAAGAAAATCGCCCGGGGTCTCTTGACTTGGGGTGAGAAGGCAAGGTTAGTTGAGAAAAGCAAGACCAGTTAGGTTTGAAGGCATTCTTCGAGGAATTAGCTATGTAGCCTTTGTTGATTTAAATATGGTATATTTGGTTAAAATTCCACGCGGTTCTTTGAAAATGAACCCTGATGTCTGAAACGCAGAGGCACGGAAAACTAGATCAGAAAACTTCAAAAGCACCACCAGCCACTTCAGACAGACATAGCCTAGGACTTGGCAAATCCCCACTTTGTTAATTCCAAAGTTTTAGAATTCTAACTTAAAACCTGGCAGTTTTACTCTGCTTTCTCTGGAATGGTTTAATAGAAGCTAGCGGGGTAGAATCTCATGTTACCATCTCTTGTCTTCATGGAACAGCATGTGTGTAATGAAACAATGGGAACAACATAGAGGAAACAGATGAAATGCTGCCGGGGTTTGGGATTTCATTCTTTTTTCTCTCCCTTGCTAGGTTTGGAGTTTAGTAAGAGTGCCATATACCTCCGCCGGGAAGCCAAATTAAGAGATTCTAGTCAACCCTGAAATTTCCGTGTGAATCTTTCTTTCTTCTCTGTTCACAACTCTTTGTTTCTAGTTTCTTCTGACCATTATTATGATGTGCAGCAAACTACAGAGTGTGGTGGTCAAGAGTAAGGGCTCACAAGCTAGACCACCTGGTTGAATCCTGGCTTTGCCACCTAATGAGCTGGTTGATATTGGCTAGTTTCCTTCACTTTCTGGGTCTCAGTTTCCTCATCTGTAAAATACAGTCAATATTTACCTATGTCCTGGAGTTGTTATAAGAATTTGATAAATTAATAATGATTGCCAAGCCCGACACATGTAAGTGCTATGTATTAGTTTGTTAGATAAAATAAAAAACAATAGTGGGTTATAAGTTGGTTTCTTTAACCAAATATTTTCATTGAATGTCAATGTTCTCTTCCATGCTTAATTACGGGAAATGCACGAGAGAGGTTTGTACACTGGTTTTGTTCGTGAATTCATACTTATTTTCTGTGTTGTAAAATAGTTCTGACATAAAGGCACCGTATCATAATTTTACATTATGTTATTTTTGAATAGGCTTTTAAAATTTATTTTATTTTTTTGAGTTGCAGTCTCACTCTGTCGCCCAGGCTGGAGTGTAGTGGCATGCTCACGGCCACCGCAGCCTCAACCTGCTGGGCTCTGGCGATCCTTCCGCCTCAGCCTCCCAAGCAGATGGAACTACAGACACGTGCCACCATGCCCGGCTAATTTTTTGATTTATTGTAGAGACGAGGTCACACCAAGTGGCCCAGGTGGGTCTCGAACCCCTGGACACAGGCGATCCTCTCGCCTCAGCTTCCAAAGTGCTGGGATTAAAGGCATGAGCCACCACGCCCAGCCCGAATATGCTTTTTTTAGATGCAGTGGAATATTTCATGACTGTCATTCACTTCCAGGGCTTTATAGGGGGATTCTGTATTGGTGAATGCATAAGAATGGAGTATCATTTCCCGCATTATATTCATGATTATATTCAAGCTTTTCCTGGAGCTTCTTAAATGACCCAAGAGGAGTAATACATGAACTTGTCTTTGTCACTTGTAGGACTGTGCTTGAGAATGTCTGATCATCTTGCCCAACTCACTGTTTCTAGACCTCTCAGGGTCCAACAAAATGTCATCACCAAAAATTTTTTTAAAAGTAACAAAAAACTGTATGTATTGAGTACTCAGACATACAACTGAAATTGTTGAGATTATATCTTCACCTTGATACAAACTGATATTTGTGTGGAGAGTGATTTTTTTTTAATTAAAAAATTTTTTTTTAGAGACAAGGTCTTGCTGTTTTGCCCAGGCTAGTCTCAAACTCCTGAGCTTAAGCAATCCTCCCATCTCCCCCTCCTCAGTAGCTGGGATTACAGATGGATGCCACTGTGCTCAGCTTGACTGATATTTTAATTTATTTTTGCCTGTTTGGAAGAATATCACTAGAATGCCGGACACATGAAGCAACTAGTCAAATGAGATTTATGAGTCAACATAGGTTGTCTTATGGCTGCATATTTATTTTCAAGGAATTGACTGATCTTTCTTCTTTGCTTGATTTGTAGGATCCTTTAGATCCCGCAAGATCAGTGATTGTGATCCGCTCCCTGGTCGCAGATAGCATAGCTGAAAGAAGTGGAGAACTCTTACCTGGAGATCGCCTGATCTCTGTCAACGAGTACTGTTTGGACAACAGCACCCTTGCTGAAGCTGTGAAAGTGTTGAAGGCTGTGCCGCCAGGCACAGTCCACCTTGGCATCTGTAAGCCTTTGGGGGTAAGTGTTGAGTTTTGTGAACACAGGAAGTGATAAGAGTGCAACAGTTTAGAACGTGGATTTTGGAGACATGTATGCCTGGCCTTGAATCTGTATTCCACTGCTTGCAATCTGTGTGATCTCAGACAGGTTTCTTAGAGTTCTTGACTTACTGAATCAGAAAAAAAAATGCTATTTCCTCCATAGTGTTTTGGGGGTTAAAGAAGATCATATATGTTAAGTACATTGCACATGATTACAGAAACGCTAGCTGTTCATGTTCCTAGTCTTACTGCTACCACTTCCACTATGATGTTCATCTTCGTGCTGTTAAGTTTGCATTGCATTCCTTCTGTGTAAATGACAGTAAGTATTTCCCTATTGTAACTTTCCCTTGGGAATCATGTTGAGATGATATGATAAGTTGAAATCCGGGTAACCATATTGTTTCAACCACACAGCAGTGAGATCTTTTTTTTTTATTTTTTTATTTTGAGTTGGAGTCTCACTCTGTCGCCCAGACTGGAGTGCAGCAGCACACTCCCGGCCATTGCAGCCTTGACCTGCTGGGCTCCGCCAATCCTTCCACCTCAGCCTTTCAAGTAGCCGGAACTATAGGCGTGTGCTACCATGCCTGGCTAATTTTTGATTTTTTATAGAGATGAGGTCTTGCCAAGTAGGTCTCGAAACCACGGGCTCAGGCAATCCACTCGCCTTGGCCTCCCAAAATGCTGGTATTACAGGCTGAGCCACCATGCTGGGACAGCAGTGAGATCTTAATATGCTTTTCTGACCATCAGAGTGCCTCGGAACTCCTAGCGTCTGGAACCCCTGTGTGGTCAAGCCATCTTGAAGTTGTCCTAGTGTTTTTTTGAGTTGGAGTCTCACTCTTGTCGCCCAGGCTGGAGTGCAATGGCATGGCTCATGGAAGCCTCGACCTGCTGGACTTAGGTGATCCTTCCACCTCAGCCTTCCAAGTAGCTGGAACTACAGACACATGCCACCATACCTGGCTGGTTTTTTGTGATTTCATGTAGAGACGAGGTCTCACCAAGTTGCCCAGGCTAGTCTTGAACTCCCCAGGCTCAGGCAATCCTCTCACCTCGGCCTCCCAAAGTGCTGGGATGACAGGCCAAGCCACCATGTCCAGCCTGTCCTATTGTTTCATTAGGTTAGATTAGGTTACTATTTATTACTGAAGGTACATTCCTGCTAGGGTGTTTTTGAGGTCTCCAATGTAAATATATATATATATATATATATATACTTGTGATAATAATCTTCAACCAGTTATAAAATATTATTGAGTGCTTACTGAGTGTCGTTCCTTTAAGCCTTTTACGTATATTAGCTAATTTAATCCTCACAGCAACTCTTGGAGGTAGTCCTCTTGTGACCTTCAGTGCAGATGAATCAAGCAAACACAGAATTGAGTAACTTATTCAAGGTCATATAACTAGTAAGGGGCAGAGTTGTAACTTGAACTCAGCAGGGCACCTTCATGTCCTGTGCTGTTAGTTGCAGTGCTCTATATTTCTATCTTATTATGTTGTGACTTGTTTGGTTTGTAAGCAGCTCATCTGAAATAGGTAGCATGGGGATAATAGATTATTGTTCTGAATTTCACAAAACCTGGGCTGGGCTCTGTTTCTAGCTTTGCTAAGAGTCAGTCCAGTGAGTTTCAAGCTTAAAGACATGTAACATATATATTAATAAGAATCACCTGGGAGATGGTTAAAATACAGTGCCCCAGATTCCACGCCTAAAGATGTCTAATATGCTGCTTATGAATCCATCTCTTAAATGAGTCATGTATGTCATTCTAATGCAGAATTTTGCACTTGGGGAACACTGTATTAGTAATTTGATCAATAGGCAAGCCACTTTCCTTCTCTGACCCCGTTCTTTCATTTCTGAAGAGATTGGAAAAGACTAGAGAACTCAAGGTAATTCTTAACTCTAAATTTCTTTTATTCTATGACATTTTAACATAACACTTGAATAACATACTATAAGTTTTCATGCACACATAAATGGATGGGTAGATATAGATAGATCTATACATATATAGATAGATTTGTGTATTAAATGGTATTTTTGCATTGGAAAACCACAATGTGGCCTTCATGTATTACTTTTTCATTCTTCATATATTAATCAGAAAAATGCCTATGTTTTATATCTACCAGACACTTTATTTTTTTGAGTTGAAGTCTCCGTCGCTCAGGCTGGAGTGCAGTGACACGCTTTTGGTCACCGCAGCCTTGAACCTCTGGGTTCAGGTGATCTTTCCACCTCAGCCTTCCAAGTAACTGAAACTACAGACACGAGCCACCATGCCCAGCTACTTTTTTTTTTTTTAACTTATTGTAGAGATGAAGTCTTGCCAAGTTGTCCAGGCCGGTCTTGAACCAGTGGGCTCAGACAATCCTCTCACCTCGGCTTCCCAAAGTGCTGGGATTATAGGCGTGAGCCACCACACCCAGCCCCAGACTTTTAAATGTTTCAAAATGGAATATAGCACATAGCTAAATTAAGTTCTTGACTTTTTGTGTATTCGACGTGGGTGTTGCTATAGACAACAGATGTACTGTGAGGTGCTTGATTCAAGGAGGGGAAAATTATTAATATTTTTATTCGACCTCATCTTGTTAGTACTTGCATTTTAGGTTGTTGTAGGAACTTGGTCTAGACTTTCTCTGATGATTATTTGCCAGAGGAGTGTGGCTGCATGGAGGCGTCCCAAACTATCTATGCTCTGTAACACTTAAGCACTACAATCTTTACCTTGAAGTTTTAGGAAGTCTTAGGAAGTGTAAAAACAAATGGGACTTAATACCAATTGAGTGTGGATTCTTATACTATTTCTGGTGGAGGGATCCTGGAGCATTACTCTGAGAGTGTTTTAGACATAATAATTGTGGAGTGGAACCTTGCCCAGGCTTCCCTCGGTAAGTCCAAGGCTGCCAGAATACTTGGGAGCCGGAGGCCAGTAGAAGGATTGCAAGAAAGGTCAATTTCAAGACTTTTTTAATTTTTACTTTTCACCACTAAGTAACCCTCCCTAAACACCTGGGTTCTTTTGGCAAAGCTGGACATGAGATATGAATAGGGATTCAAGGAACCAGGCATGAATCTTCTCTGAGGTGTCTCTCCCTCCCTCCCTTTCCCT